AGAACTCTCCCTGCCATCTGAGTGTCTGGTTTGCAGTTGCTAACATCTGCAGACTGTGTCACTAGTGTTTACATGGTGTGCTGAGACTTTCTGCTTAGATGTGAGGAGGCTCAGCACCCTTTCCAAAGTGCTCTGCCAAGTCTGCCTTTTCTGAAACTGAGCCATCACTTCTCCCAGCCGGAGCCAGAGCCCAGAGTCAGATCAGAAATGGCAAAGTCCATGAGCAGTCCCCCGCTACCCTACCTACCCCCACTCTCTCCCCTCTTCAGGTTGTATGTCTGTTATTAAACTCAAGTCTCCCATCTGCTTCTGAGACTAACACTGAAACCAAATCCTGCATAGCACACACCCTCCTGGAATCACGGGGCAGGGTGTGACAGCCTGAGCCAGCCAGAACGGGCCCTCTGGAAGCAGGAGAGCAAGGCCATAGCTGGCAAATGAGAAACGGCCAGGCTCTTCCCCAGTTAACTTGGAAACAATTCACACTCACTGTTTTGCCATTTCTAACCATGTGACCCGAACAGACACAGCCCAAACGCTTCAGATCTGGAACAAAATTTTCAGATAGCCTCAAAGGAAAGTGCAGCAGTAGACTTTGTTATTGGTCTGAGACCCCTCCCAGGAAAGACAGCCCCCAAGTGGTGCTTTTGTGGCCCAGTCTTGGGAAGGGTGAAGGGAGGGGTTAGATGGAGAAAGCCACAGCCTCCTCCTCTTTGGGCTTGACCTTATTCATGGGGTCCCTTGGCAGCATCAGTTCCTGGATCATGGTGTACATAGGACATTGTGAGGGGAAGTAATTTTTCTGAAAGAAAAAGGAAGGCTGAAGGTTAATCCTATAGGAGAAAAAGTCCTGGTGGGTGGGTTAAGGTCTTGGGGACAGGGGCAACAGGCAGAGTGTGCAGTAAGACAGAGGGAGGTTATCTTGTGATTAAAAAGAATGAAGGAAATTACAACCTCCTCTAGAATGAGAAGTAACTATCACAGCAGTAGAGCTTAACAGGACTCACCGCCAGGGACAGCCAAAGTAGCCCCATGGGACTCCTGGACTTGGAGACCTGCACCTGGTACTGCACTGCAGCAAGGAAGCCCTCCAGTCCCACCTCTGTGATGCGGTTCCCTGGGGGAGGGATCAGACAAGATGGCTTCTTGCCACCACTCGGACCAATGCTTGCTCCTGCCAACCTCCCCACCCCACCCTTCAGTCTCTCTCTCTCTCAGGCTCTACCCCTCACCCCAGAGCCCCCTGCTGAAGGGTCTCAGACAACATGATGCTCAACCATGGGGAACCAGGGCCCAGATAGCCTCGTGGGATGGGGCTGACAGACATACTGAGGAGGTTGAGGTGCAAAAGGACCTTGTTCCCAGGCATAAAAACTTTTCCATCTCTGTGTGCCACGGGTTCCAGGAGAGGATTGACCATCTCTGTCGTTTCAGCGACCAGCTGTTAGGGCAGAATACTAATTGCAGCAATGGAGAAGAGGGTTTATCAACAACTCATTCTGTCAGCACACATGTTTACACAGAGTAATAAGCACCTTTGTGGGGGAGCCAGAAAGTGGTGTATAGTGTGACAAGTAATGGAGGCAAGCTCAGAGGGAGGGGAGCACAGAGGAGGGAAGAACATCCAGCCCAGTCCAGGAAGCCAGGAGTGGTTTGGAGAAGGTGGCCTACAAGCTGAAATGAGAACCAGTGGAAAGGGTACCAGGTGAAGGAAACCACACGTGCAAACGCTTTGGAGACATGAAAGAGTGTGTGTCCCTATGGACAAAGCAATAGAGAAGGGAGAGGCAGCTTGAGATGACCCTGTGCGAGCTGTTGTCAGAAAACAGCTGACCACGGCCAGGACGGGAACAAAGCAAAATACAAATGAAGTGGCAACACCCTCCACCTGAACCTCCTTTTGCAAGATCTGTACTTGGGTGTCCGAGAAGACTTCTAAAAGCCAGTCACTCCTTCCCAGCCCTCGTGTTCCTCCAGAGTCAATTTAATGACAGAGACATTCCAGCTGGAACTAAGGAGGGGTGAGGCCTCCAGAGTAGGCAGTCCAGAAAGGTCTCTGAAGCAAGGAATAAGTTGGTTCCAGTTGAGACAGAAAAAGGGACAATCACAGGGACAAAGGAGCTAGGGTCTCAAACAGGGGCTGAGCTGTGGGTGGGCAGCACCATGACTATAAACTAGCCAGGCTTCCTCTCGGAGCTGCCCAGAGTGGAAAATAAGGTGCTTTGTTGTGCAACTCATCCAGCAAGGGCAGGGGGTGGTGCTGAACTGATGGCTTTTTGGGAAGCAGACTAAGTTGAGTCCGTGAATCAAAAGTGTGAGCTACTAGGAGTAGACCAAGAAATTGGGGGCCACCTCGGATGTATTATTCCCATAGCATGGGGATAGGGGTGTTTAAAGCTTGGTTCAACAAGGAACGAAGGAGGAGATCTGCAGTTACAGGAGGAGGCGGCCATGAGAGCAAGCCTGGGATCCTGGCAGGTGCATCCCCACTTCTGCAACAGCCTACCTCTGACTCCATGAGGATGCTCCGCTTCTCTTTGCTCCCAGTCTTGGTCCCTTTCCCCTTGGTTGGCTTCTGCTCAGGGACAGATATCTCTGAATCGGGAAGAGGAGCACAGACCAGACCTCTGACACCACCCAGGCTCCCCAGAGAATGGGGTGGGACGAGGCAAAGAGACTCCCTCAAACTGACAGCTTTGGGTTTGGGTGCAATCAAAACAGTGGGAGGGGCCTGGTGAGATGGTAGGTATGTTCTTTTCTAAGGACAGGGCCACAGAGGTCCAACCCAGGGATGTCCCCATCAGGAGGGGCTTTCCAATCATTTCACTATCAAGAAAGAAAGAAGGCTTGTCTCCTGCCCAGGAGGGGTGGGCAGAGGAGACGGACACTTACTCCCTTTGCCTGCTTTTGAGGCATCTTCTTTCTTAGGGGTTCCTTGGGGGGGGGACTGCCCAGGCCCTGACTTCTCCTCTCTCTTGGCCATTTCCTGTGGAGGATATTAAGAGAAGGTGAGAGGCCTACCCTCCTGGAGAAGGGGAACAGGTATGGGGTGAGGCTAGGGTTGCCTAAATGTCATGGAGTGGGCCTTCAAAGTCTTCATGTGGCTTTCTTCCCTCCAGCCCCAGCTGTGTACCATGGAAGCGACCTCCCTCCCACTGTACTTCCAGCATACAAGGCTCTTTCTCCCTCAGGACACCTACCCCTGGCTTCTCCTTTTTCTTGCCCAGGCTCTTGGGGGTTTTCATGGCTGACACCTTGTCCGACAGTGCAGCACTGCTGGCCCCTAGCAACTGATTCTTATCCCGGTCACTTTTGAAGTCCATGTGGCGAGAGGAGGAAGGCTGTGCTCACATCAAATGAGAAAAGATGGAGAAAGAAGCCAGGGTTTCTTTCCCAGTGGAGAGGGAGAAAAAGGGGAAAGCTTTGGGCCTGGCAACAACCACCCCCAAACTCCCTGCCTAAATAGGAAAATAATGCGGATGAGATTCCGCTGGAGTGAAGGGCTGTTGGAAAGAAACAGGAGTCTGGGGGTGATCTAGGGAAGAAGGGTCCTAATTTTGAAGAGTGAAAATAGTAGCTAATTTTTATTCAGCTATGTGTCTGGTGCTGTTTAAATGCATCACATGAATTCATTTGTTTAGTCCGCTCAACAACCTTTTGAGGTGGGTGTGGTTATCATCCCCATTTCACAGATGAGAAGACTTGAGGCACAAGGAGATTAAGTAACATACCCAAAGTCACAAATTGGCATGTGAATGAGTCAGGTTTCAAATTCTGACCGTTTAAATCTAGAGTCCGCTAAGCAAACGTTTGTTAGACCTAGGAAGCAAGCTCAGGCCCCGATGCATTCTCGGGCCCACCAGGTCGGCTCCTCACCGATCGTAATCGCTCCTGTGTCCCTTTTTCCAGGAGGAGGCGCCGGCGTTCCACCACCTCGGTGTGCGTCAGCTCAAACGGGCGCAGGACCTGAGCAAGGCAGGAAACTGACGAGAGATGCTCTCGGGGGCGGGATCAGCGCACCGGCCACGCCCCCGGCACACCCACCTCAGCCAGCTTCAGGGCTCCCTTGTCCTTGATCCGATTATGGGCTAGAGACAGCCAAAGCAGGGAGCGGTTCAGCCTGAGGCCCTACAAAGGGAGGGTGCGTGAGGGGCTCAGCTAGGCACCCGCTTCCGGGGACCCACACCGCGGCACACGCACATCAGCGATGTAGCCAGCGCCATCATCCCCAATATGGTTGAAGGCCAGATTGAGTGAGACGAGAGTTTTGTTGCAGCTGTGCAACGTGGACAGAGCCTGGCCCAGCAGCTGTGCCCCGTAGTCATCGATGTTGTTGTTCCTCAGAGACAAATGCGCAATCCTAGGACAGGGGACCACCGGAGAACAAGTCACTGGTCATCCAAGGTCCTGGGCCTTGGGGAGTCTCTCAGGGAAACAAAGGAGCTGAAAGCAGGTCATCTGGTCGGAGGGTGGGCAGATACATATTAAGGGTCCCTGTGAATATGCTAGGGAGCCACGATGGTGCCATGGGTCAAGCGTTGGGTTGCTACTAAAAGGTCAACGGTTCAAACCCACCAGCCTATCCACAAGAGAAAGATGGCCATACAATTTTTTTCCATAAAGATTTACAGCCTTGGAACCCCTATGGGGCAGTTTAGTCTCTGAGTCTGAATCAATGATGGCAGTGGGTTACTGGTTTGATTTGGGAATATAGTTAAGTAGAGGAACAAGGAAGGGTGGGACAAAGGATGACTTGGGATGAAGGGCAAGCCTAGAACAAGAAGTCTCACGTGCTGTCCAACCCCATGAGCTTGTGATATGACTGCTCCGGCAATGGGTTCCCCTCCAGAGACACCTTCCTGAGGAGGTAGACGGGGAGAACTGAGAACCAGGATGTACCACTGAGGCCAGGAGAAAGGAGCAGAAAGGAAGCACGGGTCTCTGGGGAGCAGCTTGGAAGCAAACACTTGGAGTCAAGGGATGATCCCCAATATAGTTTTACTATGTACAACAGTTCCCGGACTACAAATCCAGAAGTGTGGCCATGTGAAGGAGCCACTCCCCAGAGTTAGTGGTCCCACTTCCTGTCATCTATACCCTCCCCTTGATTGTGAGCTGGACATAATGACTCACTTTTAACAACCAGAATATGGCAAAAGTGATTAAATGACACTTCCAATTTGGCTTACAATAAGATCATGGCTTCCACCTTGAGTGCTCTCCAGCACTCTCAGATGGCCAGCTACTGTGTCTGAGGACACACCAATGTCCTGTGTGCCAAAAACCACGCCCAAATGAGCCATACGTCCACCACCACAGTCCCCACACTGCCCTGCAGCATCCATTCCTATCCCCTCCTCCCTCACTGGGCTGTGAGCTGGACAACAGGAAGCCCATCTCACAAGGCCCCAGGCAGCAAGAGCAGGGGAAGGAACTCCCAGGGATGCCGGGACCCCACTTTTTGTCAGATGGGAATTTCAAGACCCAGCAAACACTGGCTCCACTGTACTGGCCACAGGGATACCAGCAAAGGCCTTAGCCCTCTGACTACCCACCCAGCTAGGCTTCCCAGCACTGGGCCTCCGCTTCTGCTGACCTGAGTGTGGGTGAGCACAGAGGCAGGAGGGCGATGAAGGTGGTCAGGGTCTTATCAGTCAGCCCTACCTTCCAAAAGCTGGAGTTGACAGAAAGTGCAGAAACACAGCTGGAGCCTCATCTCCCACCAGAAACAGTCCTCCCAGCCACCCTAGCACCAGGCTACCCCACCCCATCTGCACTCTACCTCTCTACAGTCCCCAGGGTCCCCCTCAGCTCTCTCTCCCAAGCCACCGGGGGTCCCGTACCCCACAGTAGCCTTCTCTCTTAAGTTCCCTCACTTGATGGCCTGCAGATGGCTGAGGGGGGGCAGGCATTTAGAGAAGATTCCCAGAATGCGGTCCTCAACCCTCCAACCTGCAGAAGGAAGAGAAGAGAGGCGTCTCAGGAAGGTGAAAGAGGGGACAGCGGGTGAGGGTGGGTGTGGGTGCTTCACCTCGGATGTAGATTTCCTTCACAGACTTTGAGTCCTCCTGCTCCAACTCCACCTGGATGGTGGGCCGGAAGAACACGTATTTGCTCTCCAGGCTGCTCAGGCTGCAGGATCCTGACAGCAGCCGTTGCTCATCTAAAAGGAAGGGGGTGCAAGGAAAGGATTGAGGAAGGAGGGGACAGAGCCGCTGCACAGTGCCCCACACCCCGCCGGCCCAGGGGTACCCAAGGAGATCCTGGAGGTTCACACTGAAAGGGTGTGTTGGAGAATACAGACAGTGTGGGCGCCTGGGGACGCTGCTTCTCTGACCATTCACAAGCACTGGCATACGTCCCTGTCCTTCGGCTGGCTCACCAGTGCTCCGGACGCCGCAGACGGGCCAGGTTGCCCTGATAGACCCCTGGGAGGGATGGGGCTCCGCTGTCACTCACCTAGGGCGGGCTTTTCCGACATGGAGGCAGAAGGTACAAAGGTTGAGGGGGGTCGAGGTCGGACAACAACTTTGGGGAAATCCAAGTAGCCTGACCGCGTGCAAAGCTCCGCAAAGTCGGTCTCGAGGATCCCAGAACACTGGTACTCCTCTGCAAGACCAAGAATGAGCAGAGACTGCTTTAGCCTGGGGACGCCACCAGAGGGCAGCAGAGACCAGAGGATGGCCCCACTGGGCCCGCTCCCAGGTTGCTGGGACCTACGCCCAGCAACTACACTGAGTCAAGTTTGCCGGCCTAGCTGGGCGCCGTTCCTCGGAGGCAGAGTTCTTAGTCATTCTAAAAGTCGTAAAGATTGACACAAAACACTTGAGAGAAAACAATGGCCTTGATTGGTAAACAGCAGCCAGCAACTCTTGTGCTGTTCCCTGTCCCCACTTTTGGACAAGGGCAGGCTGGCTCTTCACCCCCAGCAAGATAATCTGGTGGGGCCTCTGCCTTCCCCAAAATGCCCCCTACCCTAGCATCACACAGAGAAGGAAACTCCAGGTCTGCAAGGAACCTAGGAAGTCCCCCATACATATACACCCCAAGGACCCAGAGCAGCAGACTTGAATTTATGTGGGATAATGCACTGGATGTCCGATGGATCTTGGCTGAAAGCAGAGAACTATCAGAAAGATGTTTACCTATGCTTTATTGACTACGCAAAGGCTTTCGATTGTGTGGATCATGACAAGCTATGGACAACATTGAGAAGTATGAGTA